GGGGGTGGGTTGGAGAATAATCAACAGTTACAAAAAGGAAGGGAGGCTGACACAGGTGTAGTCAATATACAGTACACTGTCTGCCCATGTGTAAGGTTGTTATTGATCTACTGCACTGTCCTTAATGTAATTTCTATGTCTGTGACTGCATGATGTTTTAAAATTTAAGAATTGTAATTATATTTCCTTCAGAGGTTTGTGCTAGGCTAGTAATTTTTTTTGTTTTTGGCCTATGTAATTGCTCCACCACACAGCTTAAACATGTGAACTTTGAAGTGGTTGGAGTGGAAAAAACGGGAGTCAGGAAATATGAAGTCCCCTGATTATTGTTTTATGGAAGTTTGTGACAGTTACAGTATCATCAAATGAGTTAATACTATGCCTGAACATAACATCATGACACATTAATCAAAAGTAATTATGTACCTTGATTTAACAGCAGTTAACGGCAGCCTTAAAACTTGTTCTTATCCCGTTTAGGATTGGCCTTTTCTAAAATTTATCAGAAATAATAGTGTCTAAGAGAGGGAGGAACAGATGGAACTTTGGAAGTCCGTGCAAGATTTAAATGCTCTTAAGATAAGGTCTGTGCTGTTAGGGAGGGGGAAAAAAGTTTTTTAAAGGGAAAAACAAAAGCAAATTTAAACAAATGAGTGTCAAAATTTCATGTTCTAGAATGCATTTTGGTAGACTGAAAATTGTTTATAAAAATGGTCACCAGATTGAGGTGGAATGAAAGCATATTTTTGTTTTTACTGATCCTCTGTAGGTCCTTAGTAATTATAAGTGATATGCAAAGGGCTATGGTGTACTTGAATAGAACAATATTTGATAGATTGTAAGACTTCAGTGTTGATGTGATTGTTAGAAGCAGGAGTACCTTTTAAGCCATGCATATACAGTAGAGTATGTATACAGGTATGTGTCACTCAAGGGTATGGTGTTTCACCCCTTTTGTATGAAAGCTCACTTGTAATTTGAACTTTTAAAGGTTGGTTTGTTCAAATTCCCATTCCCCTGGGGTAAAAACTGTGTTCAAATGCCCTGCCTAACTGCTGGATTTGATAGTCTTCTTTTTTTTTTTTTTTTTTCGGTAAAAGGGAAAGGGCAAAGTCGTCAACCATTAGTAACAGCGCATCAACCAAGCTTCAAAACTTGGACCTTGCAGACCTTTTCTTCTGACCCATTCACTCTGAAAAGTGAACTGTTTAATTATTTTTGTATCCCAATGGAAAGACCCCCACCTCCCCTGGTACGGAGGACTGTCAGTTAACAGTCTGCACATAAGCGTACAGTGTATGCTTCTTTTTCAGTTGTTGTTAAGGGTGCATGGCTCAACCTTACCTCTGTTCACATTTGATTTAAACTTATTTTTCAGGGATCTGAGTTCTAATCAGCTGGTGACCTTGAATATTACACAGCTTTCAAGATTATCAAACCTTCAAGAGCTGTAAGCCTTTGGAATTAATTTCAGATTTGTTTATAATTTATCAGATCCTGAATTGGTTGCCTTTTATTAGCCTCTGCAAGCGATAATCCTTAAACGTAGTCCCTTTGTATGATGATATTATCGGGTTAACTTTTGAGTCTAACATCTTTTATGTTAATAATATATGGTTAATAATGGTTAGTGGAGATATTTTTTTAACATGGTAAGTCATCAATTTGCAAGTGGCAAAACTTTTGAAGTTGGCCTATCGACATGAGAATTTGCTCTCAGTTCCTGCTCTTAAAACAACACACTTACAACAAAGGGTGAGCTTTTAAAATGACTTACTGACCTATTCTTTATCCCTTACAAAGTTCTTGACATTTTTTCTCTCTCTCTCTCTCTCTCTCTCTCTCTCTCTCTCTCTCTCTCTCTCTTTTATCAGTCTTCTTCATGAAAATCGGCTCAGAGAAGTTCCACCATGGCAGGCTCTACCCTCTTCCCTGATTCGCTTGTCTTTGTAAGTATTATATTTAATTGTTGTAACCTTGTGTACTCTCAAGCTAAGGTGTGGTCATACTTAGTAACTGTGGACAGGTTGTGTCTGTGTGTAGGTTCCTCGGTATTCAATGAACAAAAAGTTTTAAAATAAAGGTGCAACATTTATTTAATTACTATGACTTTGCTGTAGAGTGCTTAACCTTACTTTCTAATTCTAGTTATTTTCTTAGTATTAGTTGAATCACAAGGTCATAGAACCGTCACATGTTGTTCAATTTTAGTCAAACTGGTCCAGTCATGAGTTTAGTTTACCCATCTTTATCAATCAGTGAACAACCAACAATACGTGTGATGTGCTGTTCAGATCTCTTCAAGGAGAAGTACATTACAGATTCAATAATTGTATCATGGATTAAAAACCTGATTTTGTAGTGCAAAAAAACATTGTCTAAGGCAATAACATTTTGTTGCTCTACCTTTGCAGGCATCACAACAAGATAACTTCAATTCCATCTCAAAATGTCACAAAGAAACTATCTTTACAATATCTGTAAGTGTTTTTGTAACCTTTATATTTGGATGATGTGTTTTCACAGAAATAGAACTAAGCTGCACTAACTAGGTAGACCTCTCTGCCAGTGACACACATTTAGGACAGACACCTTCTAAGGTCTCTAGAAAGGAAAACTCGTATGGATCCCTTCTGCACAGTTCTTTTAGCATTCTTATGGGGTGAAAAAATCTTCTCCTTGTTCTCTTTCAATTGCAGTGCTGTTCTCAGCCAAAAAAAGCCTTATGCACCTCAAGTTCAAAAACAACTACCTTTCCACTTTCTTTGTTTTAGCCACCTACCATTATCAGGTTGTATTTCAGTCATGTTGTATTTGTAGAACTTTCTTGAGAGGAAAAGTGATGTCATTTACCTACCATAAAGATCACTTGTTCTTGCATTTTTGCTTTCTGTTTTGTTCCAGGTTACTGAGCAGTAATAGAATCTCTCACATTGGACAAAATGCCTTTGCTAATCTCACCTCAGTGCAGTCATTGTAAGTAGAAAGTGACCCACTACCTTTTCAAAATTATTATTGAATGAACTTGTAGCAGAGGCAGCAGAAGGATGTTAGCATATTAATTTTTGCTCAGTCACAGTGACTTTCCTCATTAAGGTAACAGGATAGAAAAACTAAATCAGGCATCCTATGGCTCTCAGATCATAAATACCCAGGCCATGCCACATTGTTTTTGTGAGGCAATTTCTTTTGTGTTAACCACATCACAAAGGAGTTAAAGTAACAGGTTGAGAACCAAACCTAGTTTATGTGTTGGATTGTGATGTCTGCAAAACAAATTTGATGTATAAGGACCTCTAAATAGATTGCATTCATCTTTGGAATTCTAATACTCTATGGTTAAATTGGAATGGAAGAGGTGGTGGCTTGAACTTTACATCATGTTGTATAGCATTCATGAGAGTTGCATCATTTTGTTGTGTTCAGGCATGAAATGTTCAACAAAACTGCTTGACTTTGTCTGTTTATTGTGTTGCAGAAAACTGAGCCGAAATAGGCTGAGGTCCATTCCTGTTCAGGCCTTGAGTCAGTTAACCTCATTAAAAAAATTGTAAGTCTCTTAGTTGTCAGTTATTTAATTATTTGTTTTGTTTTGAATAAGATCCTTATCACCTGGTTGCATCTGCTTTATAGAGTGATTTAAATGACAGGTTGTTACCCTACTGCTTCCTGTGGGGAAGAAAATATATCATGTTATGTTTCCTAACTTACTTAGAGCCTGATCTTATCACAAAAGCTGTCCCAAACAGAATTGTTTATCATTTTATTCTTTCCAGCCGTGTCATTTTTCATCTTTGCTACTTTGATGAACAAAATCATATGTTACTTTATTTTTAAGAAATTTAAACCTGTATATAGCTCTGTCAAATGCAAGTTCTGTTTATACTCAAGCACCAAATGTTTGGATAGGCTTTAAATACTTTAAAATGTGGTCGATGTATAAGAAGATTTTTAGATAGATAATGTTTATATGCTTTTCATTTAAGTGTGCTATCATGTAACATAGAATAATAGATTTGATGAAATTAGAATAATCCTGGTTTGCATTTTGGGTGTTATTAAATATTTCTTATGATTTTGCTGTGTTTCCTTTCAGAGACCTCACGAAAAATTGGATCAATGTTGTCATGGATCCTTTGAAAAGTTTAAAGTCTGTAGCCATACTGTAAGTTTTTCTTATTCTCTGTTTTAATATTTCATGATCCTCAAAACATTCTTTGCATATTTATTCCAGATTAAGGGAGTTTACTCTAGTGGAATGAAAATCTGGTCTTATCATGTTTATCAGATCACTAAAAATCCTCTTAAATCTCCTGGGGCACACTTTCAGCCATGAACTGGTGTCTCTGTTTGTTTCCTGAGGTCCATGTAAAAAAAATTACCATTTGCTACATTCCTCAAATATTTCTTACAATTAATCCCATACTAGGGGTTGATATTTTGTGGAATTGAATGAAAATATGCACAGTAATGACTGAAAAAGGTTAAACAGCTTTATGCCTCAAAGGAAAATAAATTTTCAGTTATTTTTCACTTGCATGGGCTAGTAGATCCTTAGGGATGAAATGATTGGCATTATATTTATCCCAGATCCTTAGCCCCTTACAATAATTTGTCCAGTTAAATTGGCTATCAGATAGAGAACAAATATATGTGTATATATGCCCTTTATAAATTATATCTTGATTACTTAAATTTATTTATCACAATTCCTGTAATTTAATGTGCATAGATACTTTCTACTACTCAGGGATGTTGTTTTTTTTTTTTCTTTTTTTTTTTTTGATGTAAATGGACTAAAACAAGTTCTGAATTTTTTTGACAATATCTTGAGATCACAAGTAATAGGATGACAAATTTATGATTTGCATGAACATGCATGGCCCCCTGGACTGGGTTTGTTTCATGGGCATTCAACTACAGTATATCAGGGTTAGACAACAATCAGGGTTTATACCTTAAATTGTTTTATGTTTTATTTGTAAATGCATCTAAAGTAGGTTACAAGTTTATTATACAGTGTGCTTTCAATTGGTAGTTACTGCTGTATGCAGAGCTTATCAAAGCACAGATCAGATATCTCTTTAAAACCACAGATACCTTACATTAGAGCTAGCTGTCTTTCTTAAGCTTAGTGTCATGCTCTGTGTGCATTTTGTCTTTTCTTTCATCATTGCAGAAAGCTTTCAAAGAATAAAATCCACACCATTTCTGATCATGCACTCTGGGAAATGAGCAATCTGAGGGAATTGTGAGTATTCCAGCTGAAATTGTGGTAAAAGTGAAGAACAGTTCCTGAAAGATGTTGTCGGCTGACTGTTGGCCGTCTGTCTGTTGGCCAACAGTCAGCCCACTTTTGCCCAACTGTCAACGACAGTTTTAGACCAAAGTTTTGGCCAACTGTCGGCTGACAATTGGTGACCTGTCAGTAACCTGTCAGAGTGTCGTAAACTGAAATGATTGAAAACATTTCCTTATCTATTGCTTCTAAAACTACATAAAAAGGGAAAAGTCATTTCACAAAGAAACCTAATGCACTTATAACTTTACAATAGCCACTGTGGATTTTGCCTACTTTTTCGCGTTGGCTAGCAAAACTTGCCCTAACTGGTTCAACTTCATATATCTACCATATTGAAAAGTTGTTCTAGTTCCCAATCCCCTGGTACTGTTAACTATAGTTTTACAATGCAATATCGGGGGATTAAAAAACTACCGTACTATAATTTGGCTTTGCTTATTTGTTACTTCAAAATGGGGAAAAGAAGTTTAGTTTGTGTACAGACAAGGATATAAGAAATAGGTATCAAATTTGGTACTAAATTTTGGTACCTACAGTCAAAATGTGGGTTAAACAAGGTTATTCTACTGTTCAAAGAGAGTAAGTAGATGATGCACAATCAGTGCAATTGATAGACATCTATTTATTGTTTTCAACTGGAAAAGTCTTGACTCTGTTTTTGGTCTATTTTTGGTCTACTTGACTCTGTCAGCCGATTGTTGCCATGTGTCAGTAAGGTGTTGGTAACCTGTCGGCCAACGGTTGACTGACAGGTTACCAACAGCCAAAAATGGGAATCATTGTTAACTATTACCGAAATTATTTACATGAACATAGCTACAGTTATCTTTATTTGCGATTTCAGAAAGTATTTCTACCTGCCTTGTAGAAGGTCTGGAAATTGTAAGGGAGGGGGAATATTTCAACTATGTTCCATCATCTTTTGCCATGGAAATATATCACTAAATTTATAATGTACTTTGTTGTTTTCCTTTTCTGTTGACATGAATATGACTTAAAACTGTCCCTTGTCCTGAAGATTTGTTATGGCTCTTAATCCTTTAAACAAGAGTGACCAGCATCTAATTTCTCCTTGCAGCAGTGCTGCTGTATCATTTATTAAGATCAGGAGAAAAAGAAAATGATCACTAACGTAAGAAGCTTGGATTGTTGCACAAATTCTCCTTTCAGTACCAAAGGAAATATATGAAGAAAACAGTGGAGAATATGGATGCTGATGCTAGGGTGCAAAGCTTTAACTGAATATCAATTTTCTTTAGGTACCTGGACAACAACAATTTAACATTTGTGTCCACATTGTGGTTTATTGGGAATCTTAACGTTCATAAACTGTAAGTCTATAATTATACCTTCAAGGTATTAGCATTTGATTTACTGGATTTTCAAAGAAAAACAGCACTTTTCTGACACATACATGTACTCTGTACTTACACAGAGGAATTAAAATACACATATGTTACACGTCTGTCTCAGGTTGCTTTGGTAGTTGTGGCTTTGGTATAATTTCTCTCTTGTTTATAAAGACCCACACACTTTGTTTGACTGGTGAACAGGTCATATCCTGTTATAATCACCCTGCCCAATGTGCTGATATTATAAAAGGACAAGTTTCAAATAGGCTTCTGCATGATTATAGAAATTGCAACTGTGCAGATAAATCAGTGAGTAATTACACTGAAAAATTATTATTTATTCTTTCATGTTGTTGAATAATCCCCTTAACCCTTTAACTCCCATGAGTGACCAAGACAGAATTTCTCCTTAAAACATCAATACAATATCAAGCAGACAAGTGATGAGAATAAAGAAAACTATCAACAAGGGTATTTTTAGTTGATCCAATATCAAATTCTCCAAACATACAGCATAAGAATTGTATTGCAGACAGCAAGGAGAATTCCTAAGAAGATCTTGAAAGTTAACCAATTGTGGGGATTGTGGAATAGTGACTTATTCACTTTGTCTTAAATGAATAGATATAATTATATTCTAACTATGGGGGGGGGGGAAGGCTAACGCTCCAACTAAAAAGGTGTACCTTTCTCAGCACTTTGATAAGGGCAGGCATATATTTTAAAGAGCAAAAGTGAATGAAATGGTAAAAGAAATAATTAGTACTTTTTCATGAACACATCACCCAATAATGTGAAATGTATTTCCTCAATTCAATTCAGTTATAAACCTGTTGAATGTATATGAATTTTATTTCTGCACCAGCTATCTCAATAACAATCGCATCAGCAAGATTGATAAAAGCCCTCATTTTGACTGGAGAGCATTACTACGTTTGAGGGAACTGTAAGTTGCTTAATTTGGGTTTGATGTATTTCATCTTTTGTTGTAGATTGTAAAAAATGAGGGAATGTCACTCCTTGGTATTGCATTCCCCCATGGTCTTCTGTTCATAACAACAAGTTTATTTTTTTCTCACAGGAATCTGGCCCAGAATGAATTGTCCTACATTCAAAAGGACACATTTGCCCGTCTTTTTACCCTACAGAGACTGTAAGTGTGCAGAGTATGACTTAAGTCAGCAACTTCAATGGAGGCAATTTTTTTGGTAGATATATGGCCAGGTTTATTTCCTTGTACTGCTGTTGGTTAAGATGCTATTTCAAAGATTGGTGTGGCCCCTTTCTGAGTCACAGAAACACAATGTTATGCCTTCAGTTGCTGAAATCCCTGCCTGTATATGAATTTCAGCCTAGTGGCCCACACCCTAGTTTCCATAGCTTAAAATATCTAGGAGTCTAACTACCCTCCTTTTGGATGGATTTGCCCCCCCCCCCCCCCCCTACATGGGTGAGTGCAAACTCACCCATTTTAGATGCTGCTGTGTGGAAAAAGACATTAAGATTGAAAGTTGTTGCTTAAAAAACACCACATGTTGACCTTGGTGGGGCTCAAAACCTCACCTCAGACCTTAGTGCTGTAAATATAGGCCAGCATATCCCTCAATGATTGTTGCTTTGGTCCTTGGAATGTAGGCCTGAGTGACTTCTTATTTGTGGGATCTAAATCCGTTTGCTGTCAGAAAACTGTGAATTACATATTAATTATGTTATAACTGAGGTTATCTCCCTTTTTCTCCTTGCAGAGATCTTGGCAATAACCAGATTTACCATGTGGAAAATAAGGCATTCTCTGACTTACGCTCACTGGATGTGTTGTAAGTTTCTACTATGCTCTTGTAACTGAGGCAGGTTCTGATGTTGTTATTTGAACGAGACAGACTTGTGGCCACAATAAAATTTATTTATACAGGAAAGTACAAAAGAAATAATACTGTTAAAAAAGAAAGGGTGATTGCAAGCTAAAGGAAATAAATGACAAATAGCAAATCAATAATTTAAAATGATGAAATAAAACAATTTAATTTAGTAAAAAAATACAATCGATTGTCATACAATAGCAAGGCACTAACAAGACAATTTGAAAGCATTGCATGACAGAACAGTAATCATTGTGTGACACTTAAAAGACTAATCCTATTAACCAAACATAGAACTATTGAATGGTGGGCTATTCTTAGAATTATACATGAAATGACCGAAAACAAGTCAATACTGATAAAACAATAGCTCAAAACAACGTAACATTAGATAAGACTAAGTTCAATCATGATTTCATATTTTCCGTTGACTTTAAACTAGGATGACTGGCAAAATCTCATTCTGTGATAGGACAAAATCTGTCATTACTGATGAACTAAACAATGAAGACTGTAGTGAAATATCTGATTTCACCAATGAAAATGTTCTGAAAGCTGAATGCAATCTTGACACATTTTGAACATGAATCAACTAATATAAGGATTCAAGCAAAGACTAAACAATTGGATTGAGATAAGTACACATGAACCATATTCTTCTTGAACTCAAACTGTAAGACAGACAATAATAGGTCAAATGTGACATACCAAATCCTCAGTAAAATAGCTCACTAACTTGAGGTTACACGTACTGGAGTTACTTTTTTTGTGACCAAGAGGTTCTGAGCTTGTAAGTGCTGGTCTTGACACTCTGAACTACTGAGTTAAACTAACTAACTGTACTTCTTTTGTAAGGAATCAAACAATAGCTGGAAATTCTTTAAATTTTGGAAGTTAGGTGTGATCATTCTAAAGGAAATTTTAGCTGCAAATCCTGTGTTTGGGATGATTTGGTTATCATAGGAAATAGTTAGGTGTGATGGTGCAACTTAAAGGAAATTTATGGTGCAAATCCTGTGTGTATGATAGTTTGATTGTCATAGGAAATAGTTTCTGAAGGTGTAATTCTAAAATTAAAACAAAAAAATATTGCAATGTCATGCACAATTGTGAGCCTGGTCACGCTAACTTTAAGTATTTAAGGTGTACCTAGCAAGCTTTTTAAGAAATATTAGGTAATGACACCCATTACCTAATATTTCTTAAAAAGCTTGCTAGGTACACCTTAAATACTTAATGTAAATACCGAAAAGTCAAAGAAATATTTTGGAGGCACAGGTTTAATTGCCATCAAAGTCTAAATTTTTATGGCTTCTGTTTTTTAAAATCCTCTAGTTGCAATTCATCTGTAGGGGCCATTTCTGTTATTGAAAATTACCTGCAGGTCAAAAGAGTATTTCATTTGATTGTGATTGTCAGTGTTGTTTGTATTCTAGGGATCTTAGCAACAATGCTCTGTCATCTATTCTGAAAGGGACAGAGAGTGCATTTGAAGGACTTGAAAAGTTGGTTCTGCTGTAAGTAAAGTGATTCAACTTATTTAGGTTATTCCGAGTGCAGTGTAGCTGGATCACATGTATGTAGTAATGTTAAGTTGTAATTTGCTTTAAATCTAGAACTGACCAACTGATTATGAAATTAACCAAATTACTTTGCCACATGTCCACTCAAAACACCCATTAGTTCTCAAAATCTCTTCAGCCATTCTCTGTTATCCTCCTTATTTTTGAGGAAATTTGTTGCTTCCATATGAAACTTGCCAACTGAGGCATTTGTCTCCTTTCTTCACGTGCTGGCTAGATTAAATACTAAAAAATTCCAGGCAAGTCTCTTGAGGGAGTCAACTGTGCAATTCTGCCCTTTTCATGATCACCCAAAGTTTCTAGTTTCTTTTTTTTTAAAGTGGCCATAACCCCCCAAAATTTTTTTGGCCATATTAAATCTCTCTATTGCACTGAGCAAAATGCCGCAAAAAAAATTTGTGTTTCGTTAAAACCGCGATTTTTTATGATTTTTCAAGGTCAGGTTTATTTTTCGAACGACCGAGTGAACCAGAGACTGGTGCCAGTGACATCATTCCAGGCCATCGGCAGTGGCACTCCAATCCAATCTCAGTCAATATTATACGTTCCCAACGAGATGAAACCTTCGCTTAAGCTTGATCTGGTAAATTTTTCTCACCTTTCTCTTACTTCGCTCGCTTTCAGCTGATTTCGTTTCCTCAACATTTCATGCGTGAACAGTCAGAAAGACGCAAATTCCAACTCCATCTTTTCGCAACCTTCATTGCATGGTCTCGCTAGTCAGAGCAGAAAACATGACTGAATAGTCTTCTTTTTTCGGAAGTGGTTGGAACACACGGCCAAGTATTTTGTGGACTTCCAATGTGCACGCTTCAATTGCACAAAGTCAACCCACTTCTTTCTTCTCTTTTTTTTCTCTGGGTCATCTGCCCCATAGAAAGGTATTAGATGAAGTGCTATTCTTTTTTCTTTGTTGGGAGTGTTGCTACACCCGAAAACAACGCACTTATCAGGCATATCCGTCAAGATACTTCATCCACTCCTTGAAGCAAACTCATGGGAAAGCCTGGAATTACGTCACAAACTGCGTTCGACCCAGACCCATCTTGATAATTCCGTCCCTCGGTCGTGTTTTGAAAAAATGTGATTTTCCACGACTTTGAAAATTCATAAAAAATCGTGGTTTTAACCAAACACAAAAATTTTTGCGGCATTCTGCTCAGTGCAATAGAGAGATTTAATATGGTCAAAAAAATATTTTGGGTTGTGGGCACTTTAAATAATATTTTTTACCGTGTTTTATAATTCTGTTTTTTTTTTCTTTTTTTTATCTCATTGGCTGTACCTTACGTGGTTCCTTTTGTCCTGTTTGCACCAGCCCTATTGTGTCCACAACTTTTTATCAATAATTGTTCTTGCTGTACCTTGTATTACTGTTTTGTCATATATTGTATTACTGCTCTAAAGTTAATTGTGATGAGTGTATCATGTTATTTGTAGTTCAAAATGTTCAAATACCTTTGGAGTAAGACAAGCTTTAAACTTTGTAGGAGGCTTGATGGAAATCGTATACCTTGGATAGCTGCAAATGCTTTCTCTGGACTTACATCAGTCCAAAGCTTGTGAGTATAGTGTACCACCCTTTTTTAGCCTAATGATAATGAAATGAACATGTGTATTTTTCAGTTGATCCTTGAGTCAAACATGTGTTAAACTGTCACTTTTCTGTTTTAGGAACCTCTCTGCTAATATCATAGCATATATCGAGGAGAATGCTTTCTTGGAAGTTCATGCTCTACAATTTCTGTAAGTTGGATAACTGTTTTGTCAAATACACATGTACGGGTGTCATGATGTGAAATTTGGAATGTGCTCATGTGATAAGACCTTTTCTGGTTTGACAGATATTTGAACACCACATACCTTCTTTGTAACTGTGACCTCAGCTGGCTGCCTGGATGGATTGAAATGAAAGAAGAAGAAACAGAGGGATTCAAATCAAATATACATGCTGTCTGCCAACACCCTAGACCAGTACAAAGAAGAAGCATTTTCAACCTCAGCTCATCTGAATTTGTTTGTGGTAAGGATTGTAACATTCAGGGGAAGTCTTTTCCAACAGTCTAGTCAATTCTTAGGGGGAACTTTCCTCTTTTAGAGAGGCCTGACCTACAGAGAACTATGGTTGCACTTCTTGTTTTGGTTTCTTCTTAAGCAAACTTTCTTTAGCTAGTGTTTGTTAATACATAAAAGTATGAAAATGAAGAAGGGAGAATCATAAAACTCCTTCAAGAAATGTGATTTGTGTGTTTATACTGGTGACACACAACAGGTGAAATGTGTTGTACAACTATTTAACATGCTCATTAAATTAGCAGTATTGAGCTTGATCGATTAAAACTATGACATGTGAATTTTTTTAAGTTTTATTAACGGAACCCAAATAAAATGCCTTCCCCTTAGAGAGAATTTGGAATTGAATACCCTACATTTGAGGGGGAGCAGATTTTCTCTTATTGTAAGTAGAACAGTCACTCAGCAAAAAATTGCCAAACTTCAAGGTGGCCCTTCAAACTAGCAAGGGGTGCTCAAACAACAGCTTGAGACACCTCTCCAATACCTACCCTTTCTGTAGCCATTCCTTTTCCACTGCCATCGACATGTACTCAACCTATAAAAAAATCAGCTCCTATGTTGACGGTTTAAATTTTTAGACAAGAATGACCACAAGCCAGAGATAACAACACATCCAAAAGGACGCAAGATTCTGTTTGGTCAGAATGTTACATTAAAGTGTGTGGTCAGGCAGAGGAATCACACAATAAATGTTAACTGGACAAAGAACAACAAGCCTCTTGAAGGGGCCGTCATCACAAGCCATGCTCAGGTTGGAGAGTTAGTTGTAATGAGATATACAGGAAATTGTGCAATCTTTCTTGTGTGATGTAGATTACTTGACTATTAATTATTAATTCACTCCCATGAGTGACCAGAAAGGAATCTCTTTTAACCTTTGCACTCCCAAGATCTCATCAGCTATTCTCCTTGTGTCGAAAACGAAAACCTAAGACCTGAGACCCTGTGCTCTAAAACGAAGACCCTGTGATCTAAAACGAAGACCCTGTGCTCTAAAACGAAGACCCTGTAATCTAAAACGAAGACCCTGCAGTCTAAAACGAAGACCCTGCGGTCTAAAACGAAGACCCTGCGGTCTAAAACGAAGACCCTGCGGTCTAAAACGAAGACCCTGCGGTCTAAAATGAAGACCCTATGGTCTAAAACGAAGACCCATTGTTCTAAAAACCTCTTTTTCAAGGAAAGGCTACACACTAAGCTCAATTGCTCTCATTTCTGTAGCGAATAAATTAAAATGTCATCCGAGCGCGCGACCAACTTAACAGTTACGTTATCTCAGTCGGTACAACACGTGTCAAATTGTGAAACGCAATTAAATTCTAAAAATACAGAAATATACGTTTTAGTGACGATTTTGGTATATTTTGTCGTCCCAACTTTCTGTTTTTCAAATGCATATTGAGCAAATTACGATGAGGTGACTTCATTACTTTGCTACACTGTCTTTATCATATAAAGGCGCAAAGGTCAACCGTGCGTGACTCGCAAATTATTCACCACAGGGTACAAGGATCGGATGATCTCCCGCCAGAATGGTCTAAAACCATAAACACGAAATTTCTGCAGTGCATAAATTAAAATGTCTCTGGACGCGCTTCATCTACGCGCACAACACGTGACAAATTGTGTAACGCGGTCAAATTCCAAGAGTGTCGAAATGTAGGTTTTAGTTACGAGTGTAGTACATGTCCTCGTCACCAACATTACATTTTAGATTTTTTCAAATGACAGTGAGGTGACTTCAATAATACTGCGTCATACTGTGACTGTACCTACAGCTTGATGGACGTTTGATCCGTTTTAAAGGCCGGGTTCAAAGCTCATCTTTGCGTGACTTCCAAAGCTACGTGAATAATCTTGTACAATCAAATACAGCACATGCAATGTCCCCGGGAAAATTTCAAATTGATTATATATTAGGCACGTGTAAAAACGAACAACATTTTTAAAACTGTCGCGGCTGTGATATGGTAAAAAATATCATACACCAAATTTGAAAACTACATTTTAGTCTCATCACACAAATCAGTTTGACTTTTACGGAACTGGCTCTTTATTTTGTATCAGACCACGTTTACATTTCAAAGGCTTGTGGTTATGGCTGTCTGATAAAGCTGTTGCGGTAGGTCAAAAGATGACTTATCTGTCAATTTTTGTTAAATGAACAGTCCACATTAGACTAAGTGTTCATTTCAGTCTTTCGGAGTTGGAGTAATAATTTTTGTTCTAAATAGCACAGCTCAGATGTTGAATAGGGCTCACACTAGTGCACTTGAGCTAACGCTAGGGAAACCTGCATGAAATTTCATTTTCAGCGCGGGAGTGCATATGAGAATGATGATTTAATCTTCCCGGGAAAAATCACATTCTGGCGGGAGATCATCCTTGTAGCCTGCGCTGAATAAATTTGTGAGTCACGCACGGGTTGACCTTTGCGCCTTTATATGATAAAGACAGTGTAGCAAAGTAATGAAGTCACTTCATCGTAATTTGCTCAATATGCATTTGAAAAATAGAATATTTGTGACGACAAAATATACCAAAATCGTCACTAAAACGTATATTTCTATATTCTTAGAAATTAATTGCGTTACAG